TACATCTACATCACACTTAAAGTGTTTCTCTTTACCTCGCATGTCATTTATATCAAAGATTCTTCTGAGTGCCTCCAAAATGCAGCCAAAGCACCACAATTAGTCCTTTCACCACAGTTTGAGAACCATCTCCAACAAACACTTTCAGACCTAAATATACAATTTTGTAATTTGTCACCGTGGGAAGTAAATTCACCTGAAGCATTATGCAAGCAAACAGCTATGGATATGAATACCAACATCATTCCTGGAACCGTAATGATGAAAACTCCATCACTTCAGCCGTTCACGCACCAGAGAGTAACAGCGCTCTCAGCTGAAAACCAATGAATCTGCAGCCAAAGAACATACATCACTCGACAATATTTTATTAATCAAAACACGGTGCTAATGTGAGGTGCAATGCCTATATTAGCACTCCAGCTGTTTCTTCATTCTGGCTGAACTTCGTTGGCATGGCTTTGTTTCAAGCAGACTTGTTTAATTTCAGGCATTTCTGCAATTGTCTTATGCTTCTCTCTGTGGAAACGAGTCCCTATCCTCAGGGAAAGTTTCCTCATCCATAAGTTCCCATTTTGAGCTTTTACTAGGCTGTAAAACATTGCAGTAGTTCTGCTCTATGAAGCACAACTACAGCCACAAAACAAGACTTCAGTGAGAACAGACACGATCAATCAAAACAACTGCTTCCAGCAATGTTTGAACTACCCACAGTTTCCTGTTTGGTGTGTTTCAAATAGCCGTGATGGTTGGGATGCATCTGTAAAACCGTAACTGAGCAAATATTTCTAAGGGTGCGTTCACACCAGTCGGCTTTCATCAAACTGTAGTCAAGTCGGTTCGTATGGGGAGGTCTGAATGGGAGAAGGCCCACTCTAGCTCAATGAAAAACTTAGAAAGCATGGCATTCTGGGTAATTACAGCCAAAATAAATGTGCTAAGCTAGCACTAGCAGGAGAAATGGTCTTTTACCAACGACAGAGATATCCTACAGCCGCTAAAATCTGACACCACTCCATTTGTGTCTACTTCTGCGGTTTTTGTGTCATTTCTTTCAGTAGCTCTTGGTGCAGCGCCAACACAGGCCAGTAGGGGGAAAGCTTTTTTAAGGGTTTGGTTAATTTAACACAGTAGACTGCGAAGGCAAATCGCAACAGCTGAAAATGTAACAAATGTTGGAAATTTGGTCCCAAATCGAACCGAGTCTACCGGACTATCAGGCGTGAAAACAGCCTAAGGACAATGCTAAGCACAAGTAAACATTTTATTTACCTCAGGGGTCTGGTGAAAAACAAGTAGATAATTTTAGAAATTTAGACTGGACTAGGTTCATAAGCAAGTAGGGGTTTATAGTAATGTTTTTAAATAAACAAGAAATTGTCTGAACTGTCAGGATTATATTTACTATTTTTCACCACCATTAGTTCAATAAAGGAGTATCAATAAATACTAAGGAATTTTAAAATATGACTAAATATGTGTATTACAAATGGATTTGCTTTTCAAGAGCAGACCCCAAAAAAATAATAGTCACTTTTATTGTTATCACAATAATACTAGAAAATATTGTGATAAAATTCATATCACCCACTCGCATAAGCAAAGCATTGTTAATACTACATGATCTCAGACTGTTTGTCTGCAAAGGTAATTTAGATTTTTATCATTAAAAAACATTGCCTTCACATCTACCCTATTACATATATCTAAACCAGTTGTAGTGCATGAAGTGAAACAGACTCCCAATTTCACACAAATCACCAGATATCCTGATATTAAGTTCACACTGACCTCCAAAAATGTAAGACTTCTGCAAAAAAAAAAAAAAAAAGTGTGTGTCTGAGTTTGTTGTTTGTTGTGCTGCATAATCGACTGTGCCAGACTCAGCCTTGGGGAGGTTAATCATTTCCATGCCACTGATAGACAGCTATGCTAAAAAGAGTGGCAGCTGGGGAGGAGAAGTAAACAGATCGTTCTGCCAAAGGGTGGCCAGAAGCTCCTTCAGATTTATCCTCTGCTGGGTCAAATCACCAGATATGTGGGAATAAAGATTCATATAAACAAGTGAATAATGCGGAGAATGAATTAGCATTGCATACCAAAGACCAGTAAACCTAAAGTGGGGTGTTTATTAAATATTTGGCATGGATTCAGCTTGTTGCTCTGTTGCATTTTCTTTCTTTTTTTTAAAGGCAATTATGAAAGATGAATTTAGTTTAATTTAAGCTAATGAGGCATAATGATACTCGTCATTACCAGACTCAAGCTCTCCTTTCATGCACTAACTACAATATTTATGAGCCGATTTCAGCATATTTCTATGAGTTACACTTGGAATTAAAGGGAAGGCGCTTGTATCAAGTGACATGCCATTTCATACATTGTGTATAAATACACAATGAATGATGTTTTGAAGTTTAGCTGAGCATTAGCATGTAGGTTTCACTTCTGGATGGACTGATGTTAGCAGGAAGTGGAAAGGAAAAATCCCCTCAAGATGTCTGTTATCTTTCACAGATCATTGAAACTCATCTTCATCTTCATCATTAAACAAAACAAATCAATCCACAGCACAAAGAAGCAAAAGCTGCTAGCTTTTTAGAACGTTTTTGGAAAATTATATTATCAGATATATGGTGTTGAGTGAGGAGGTAAGCTTGTATTTTACCCAAGAAGACGATGAATCCTGATATGACTGAAACTATTAAAGAGGCAGTGTTATGTAAAATTACATTTTTTGAGCTTTAGTTCATGTTATCATGTGATCCCCTCTTATATGGGGTGTTGCCTTGATTGTTTCATGCATGTTTGAGAAATCTTTTAATCTCCATGGCAACCATTCAGCTGGGTAAAACGACTGGGTACACCTAGCCCCACCTTTGAGAGCTAAGCTCCTCCTCTGAGCTACAGTTTCGAAGCTCCCGCCTCACAGAGCAGTCCCCCCGTGACTTCCCCACACAGCTCCTTCAGATTAGCCGGTTAGCAAACATCAGGCGAAACAGCACATCTTCTGAGCTCATAATACGAGCTACTTCTCATACAACGCTGGTAAAAACGTTGTTAAGGGGTTAATAGAGGAGCCATGTTGTGACGACTTCCTGGAGGCAGAGTTTCAGAAAGAGCAGGAGTTTCTTAAAAAGACAGAGGCCCAATTTCAAGGCGTTCATATACCAAGTCCAATTTCTTTTAAGTCATATTTGACAATACATAAATACATAATACTGCCCCTTTAATGATATGCATTTTAACAGGAGATACCACCAAGTCTTTCTTCTGAGGATGTACCCAATGTTTGTTTGTTTTTTTCCATTTCGAGCAGTTTATCGGTGCTGAAATGAGAGAAAACAGAGGAGTGAAGAACATCGAGAGCTGAAGCTTTGAAAAACAAAAACAAGCTGTGGTCACTGTTTTTCTTTTTTTTTTTCTGAGTATGACTTCCAGATGTTTTTGTGGTCACTCAGCAACTTTTGGAGATTAGTAGACTTTGTGTTTCTCTATAGTTTAAAGGAGGATATGGTTTGACCTTTGCAGTTATTTCTATTCTATGCTTGTTTCACAATAACTTTGTGAAAGTGTTGCCCCCCGAACTGGTCAGGTTTCCTGTAACGGTGCTAAATTAGCTTTAGCTCTAAAGGAATTAGGTATAGCTATGACTTTAAAATAAATCCCAAAAGCTTCACATAAAAATAAAAAATAAAAAAACTAATAGGTCCGGCCCCCTGAACAATACTGGATCCGGCCCGCCTCCTCATACCAGAGAGAATTCAGTGTTTTTTTTTATATATTGTATTTTCCGGTTTATATGTGGATTTTTCTTCAACCACCAGGGGGCTCTTGAGCAGATGTAAAACTTACTTTCCCTCAATGGAATATATACTCGTCAGTCCCAGTGACCATTTCACTCACGGTTTGTTCCATTTGCATTCTGGGTAAAAATCGATCTAAAAACGCAAATATGTCATCGGCCGTAATCCAGCCCCCCCCCGATCAACAGACCGGCCCCCGACCAGAAAAGGGAACAGTTATGTGGCCCTCGCAGGAAAAAGTTTGGGGACCCCTGTAATAGGGTTTTATAAACAGTCGTATCAAATGACCCCGACTCCCTGTTGCTGCTCTGTCACCACGTGTACTTCATGGACTGACGTTGTTGAACGAGAGTTAAGTGCACTTTTACAAGTTTTTCTTACCGGGTTGCTGTGTTCTTTAGAGCCATGAACAAAACATTTTCTCTTAAAAGATCAAAATGTTAAATCCCTTTCGTGTTTTACAATAGTTGCTCTTAGAATGTGCTCCTTTACTGGTAAAGTTCTCATTACTCACTTCTTTCAAGCTTCACCGCTTCTCTTTATTCTGGTCCGACGAATGTTTACATCCCGCGGCGATGAGGAGGAGGTGGATGTTGACCTTTCTTTCCAGTGCCTGATGTGTAAAACATAAGTTTTAGCACTCTCTGAAGACAAATGGAGCTCGTAACACTGCAACTAAATTCTACTGATGAGGTCGGGAAATCAGCTCCCGACACATTTAACTCTCTTCTGATTGACAAAAGCTAATAGCTCTTTCTCAAACCGACAGGAGATGAACCCCGATGGAGGGACGTTATCCTGTTCTGGAGAGGTTTTAACGTCAGTAACTTAGTGATGGATGTTCATGTTCTAACAAATGAGTCGACAGAAATTACAATGAAAACTCAAACAAAAACAGACAAATATACCAGAATCCTAACTTGTAAGTACCAGGAAAGAAGAATTCATATTTTTCTTTTTCTATTTTGTTTTTTAAGCAGCAAACTCTAATTTTCTGTATGCAGAGTCCCCTACGGGTCATTTAGATTTTTATTTTTATTTTGTGTTACAACCCAAAACGTTTGTATTTCCTCACAATACTTCTGTGTTTTCTCGTAATAATATATTTACTAGTCAATTCATGCTGCATTTTGAATACTAAAATAATTTTTGCTACAATATGAAGTTTTTGTAAGGCTTTTCCATCTTATGTTTGAGATATCTTAAGTTTTATATCTTTTTCTTTAGATAAAGATAAAACGCACCTCAAATACTTCCACTTGGACTGGCTTTCCATCCATTCTCTAAGACGTAAACAGAAACTTTCTGTAAGAAGGAAAGAAAGAAATTCAAAAAGAAAAATTTAATCTATCTGGACTATATTTTTTGGAGTTGTTTTCACAGGGTAATAAAGTCATCTGACAGTTTTGGTTGAGTCTTTTTCATGTCAGTAGTCAGAATGGTTAATAAAAGGTCATTTTCATTTGTAGTCTCCTCTCCACCGAAAGAAATTACACAAACATGAACTTTGAAGGCAATAGATCAATATTCAACCAGTTTTCATCCCCAAACAGTTAAGAATGTATGAGCACGTTTTCACTCAGGCATTTTAAAGGCGATCATGTGTGTAATTTTAAAATAACATTTGTTATCACTGAGACTGTGTACAAAATAGGCTGTATTTGCTAATTTATTGCCATGAACGGAATTGGGAGGGAGGAAGTGATGTCACAGGTTATGGGCACAAAAATCTAATAAATTTCTCAAAATTATTGTATTTCTTTTTGAATAATCATTTGAAGATTAAAAGAAGGCAATAAAATCAAGAAAATAAAAATACATAAAATTAACAAGAGAGAAATTTTTAGTGGAATACATTTTTTTTCTTCCATGCTACATGTGCAACAAGCAAAGTCTGAGTTTTTATGAGTCTCAGTCTATTCACGGAATGGAGCCGTTCAAAAGAATCGAATTGTTTGTGAATGCCGCAACGGCCGAGTGAAATTAATGCTACATGAGTGTTGGCAGTCTTGGTTTATGCTTACATACATGCTAAAGGGGTACAACTGAAAGACAAGTAATATTTTGCCAGAGCTCTTATCATGGACGAAAACATTAATAAAGGCTCCCAAGTTAAACATCTGGCAGTTTTTAGCTAATGTTAGCCTCATAAGCATATGCTAACATTAGCATAATAGTCTGCAAAGACATTTATGCATTATCTTTTATGAGAAAAAATAATATGTAATAGTAAATGTGAATATTAATGGCCTCCATGACACATGAAAATATATCGAAGACGAATAACTCACCTTTAGAGAAGCTCTGCTTCTTCCAATATGCAAGTCCGCAAATGTTCTGGAAGCTTCCCTCGCTACTTTAATGCACATGCGCACTGCTGCGCTCTTGCACACTGCCTTAACGTCCAGTTTACACGCAATAACTTAGTCCTGTACCTCTAAGGCTAAAACATATACACATTACTCAACAAGTTACTTAAGAAAAGCACAGAAACATAATTTAAGTGAGAACAGGTGTTGCCTTTTAGAGTGCAAACGTAGCCAAAAAGCTTATGAAAACTCCAGGAGCTACACAGATCCAAACTCGGGTGTGTGTGTGAGGCGGGGGGAGGGGGGGGGGGGCAATGAAAAAATGAAATAAAAAAAAAAAAGCAACCTAACAAAAATATT